GTAATTTTTGTCTTTAAGGATTGTAAATTTGTTTTACAGAAATCTATTGTAGTTTCATTTACCGCAAATGAATGTTAATTTCACTTATGTAGTAACATTCATAGCCGTGAAATCAAATGTTTTTTTGCTGAAGGTTTCGCATACAGTCATCATCAGGAGGCTCGTGACAACTGGTTATATTTGATGAATTTATGTTTTTCTTTCGATTTTCTTTTGTATTTTTTGTCCTTTATCTTTTTTTTTATTATTCATTTATCATTTAAATAACTTTTAATCTGTCAATGCTGTACATAAAAAGTTATGTGTACGTATGCATATTAAAGGTATTGTTTTCCGCTCTTCTTTCTTGCAGTATATGCCATGGATTACTGCTGAAGTCACACAGTGTGCATGCTGAAACACTAATCAGACGGATGCTCTACATGGACATCATATACCCATGTACGTTTGTAAGCTATGTAATCATTCTTCTGGATCATTGAAGCGGTTTTCTGAACACTTTTCAGTCCATAGAAATGTGGTGAATTTCGATTTCCCGTGTGGTGTTCCTGGCTGCAATCGAACATTCAGAAATTATTCATCCTTCAAAACCCATGTGCATAGGGATCATCAACCATTTTCAAGAAAAAAAGATGCCCAGTTTTTCAGTTGCTTGATTGGCATCAATCCAGACGCGGGATCAAAGTCTCATGGACAACAATGTAGCCAGAAGGTGATATCATTTATTCGCAAATTAGCGGATTTCCAGTGGTTTCATTAATAAGGGGGCAACTTTATGCCATCCGTGGATGACCCTCGTGCAGTCGTTCGGAAAAGTAGTCCATCCTAGTGAGATTTGTCATGGGCCATGGAATCCACTCATATAGGGGTACTTTTTATATCGCAACATGTCTGTTGTTCTGGAAAAAAAGGGGTTTTCCCCTCTAGGTACTTTACTGATGGGGATAGATCAGGGTAAATTTCCCGATCACAGAATACCTGGTATTCTCGAACTTCCAGTCAGTCTGAATACGCCTTAAGATATATATACTGGAAATGTCATTTCTTGCAAAATTTATAACATGTTCTGTATAATTATAAGAAGTGTATCTTAGTACAGACTAACATTCAGAACAAATTACAGGGGCGCCTACATACTACATCAATTTCAAAATTATCAATAAAAAAAAATCCCACTTACATTGAGTATCTGAACCCTTTACTTTCACACACTTTCTTAAAATTTTATTTGTGTCTTTTTGCCCTTTTTAGACCTTTGCAAATGTTATGCTTGCAAAAGGGATCATGTACCTTTAATATGCATTTCAATTGAACTTAATATGAAACATCACAAGTGAAAATTGAAATTTGAAATCAAATATTTTGTTAGTGAGGGAGGTTAAAAAAGTCACGTGACTTCGTGGTATTAAGGAAGCCGTGTGTTTAGCCTTGATGCAAAGAGACCAACTACAGGGAGCCCAAACTTTTTTAATAAATTGTGTCTAGCGGTCATTGAACTTCCTAGACAAAGCATTAGCACATGTATTCTGTGAGCCTGGCATGTGTGCAGCCTTGTCATCATAAGCATTGCTTGATTGTTTACTTACTGTTTTCCAAAATATGTTTTACATTACTTGCAATTTAGCATTATTTTACCTTAGTGAATTTTCATATTTTAATCTGTACATGCAATACACCTTTATTTTAATAAATTTAATAAGTCATGAAATAAATGAATTTGCCAAATATTAGGCCTATATTTAAGTAACCTATATTTTATTTCGACATATTTCAAGTTATATAATAATATATTTTTTTTAAGTAACTTATATTTTATTACGATATATGTTACGTTATATGGTAATATGTTTTTTTATCATATTTAATACGTAGCAATATTGTAGCTAAACGAATTTCATAATTTTATGTTTTCATTTTACATGTACACAAATTGATCATATTTTCTATTTTCTTTGTTCATTGTGCACATTGGTAATTCTATTTCATTAATTTCTGTATATCATGTATATTTTCTTATTGTCAAGTATGTTTTACGGTTTTTGTTATTTTGCACAGCCCCTTTGTAAACCAGCCGAGTAGCTGAATAGGGCTTTTACCGTCAATAAATCAATCAATCAATCAATTGAATGACAGCTCATGAAGTTGAAACAAGTTTCTGTGCAGAATTGGCATGTAAATGAGACAAAAATACAGAAGAATATGAAACACGTATTAAAGATTACAAGTTTAATATAACAGAGCAACTCAAATTAAATGGGGTATTAGTTCAAAAGATAAATTAAACAAAAATAAAGTGAGTAATGTCTTTTGGAGAGATTCTACCAGGTATAGAGAGTTTTCCTTGATTCTGCCAGGTATATGGAGACTTTTCATTGATTGTATTCTGATAGTAGTTGTCGTTTAATAGTGGCTTTAAAGGAAGATAAAAGTGTATAAAATATGTCTTGTTTACAATTGAAGATAATTCTTTACAATAGTTTTTTACAATTCAGAATTTTAAAGTGAACATATTGTTGTCTGTTCGACAAATAATTTTTGACCCAAGAAAGTGCAGTGCCCCTAAGCCATACGTTGTGATTTAGCATATCAATGCCTTAAAGCCGCTATGTCTGCACAATTGCATGTGTTATTCTGTCGTATAATTAAATTAATGCTAGGTCGGGTGAATGATTTTTTTTTAAAGCCATATTGGTTGGGATTAAGCAAGTTATGTGTATTTCAGAATTGGTATAATCTAAACAATTTTTTCAAGAATTTTTGAGATACTGGAAGGATGACTATGGGTCTGTAGATTCTTGAGTACTTGAACTTTTGCAGTTTTTAGTGGTTTTACTTGTTTTAATGTTTTACTTGATAGTTTCTTTGCAAGCATTTTCATAATGTTACACTATTTGAGAAACTTGTTTTATGGAGCGTTGATTACCCAATAAAGACTTTAATAATGATTTTTGTGTTCAGAAAGCTTGTTTTTTCCTCAAATTAACAGGATGATGCTGCTAATGTCAAGTTAGAATACTGTACTTATTACATTAACTTAATGTAAATGAGAGAAATAGATTAAAAAAAATAACAGGATGATACTGCTAATGTCACAGTAGAATACTGTACTTAATACATTAACTTAATGTAAATGAGAGAAATAGATAACAAAATAACAGGATGATACTGCTAATGTCACAGTAGAATACTGTACTTATTACATTAACTTAATGTAAATGAGAGAAATAGATACAAAATTAACAGGATGATACTGCTAAAGTCACAGTAGAAAAGCTGTACTTATAACATTAACTTAATGTAAATGAGAGAAATAGATACAAAATTAACAGGATGATACTGCTAAAGTCACAGTAGAAAAGCTGTACTTATTACATTAACTTAATGTAAATGAGAGAAATAACATTAATTTACTGTAGAGAAAAACTTACAGTACATAACTGTAAATACATTTAAATTACTGTGAATAAAATTACATTAATTAACTGTAAGAAGAACTTACAATAAATACTGTAACCTTATACATGAAAATTTCTTTACAGTAAGCTTACAGTATTTTAATGTCTTACAGCAAGTTACTGTTGAAAAACTTACAGGAAGTTACTGTAATGTCAAAGTTACAGTAATTTACTGTGCAACAAAGTTGCCAGTAATTTACTGTAATTTCTACAGTGAAATTTTTAACAGTGTAGGGGGTAGTTGGTAGTTGACTGGGGGTGGTTATCCGGGGTGGATGATACGGGTACAAATTGTTCTTGTCAACATGTTTTGTTGGTTTTGTTTGGATGTGTTAAAACCATTTTTTTTTTAATCTGAAGTCTGTTTGAGAAAATTTAAGGAGTTACAGAAAAACATTCAGGCCAAATCAAGAACAAATTAATACATTTATAACCAACACAAATCCAAAACTTCAGAGAAATATACTAAGAGTGTCTCTATGAATAGTTTGTTTCTGTTTAAAACAAATGCATGTTGTTATTGTGTTCTTTACAATAGTTTTGTCATCGTTGGATACAAGATAATCTTAAGATCTATTTCAATTCGTAGAGTAGACATATACAATACTACGGCATTGCAATTAAAAAAAAAGTGCTCGTTCACATGTTCATTACTATAAGTCCTTCGGAGAGGACTTGAAGCTCTCGGTCCGCTGGTTGCTCATTAAATATTACACATGCTTTTTTGACAGTCAGGTAAAACAAAACAAACGAGTGTGTCGTCTGGATAAATCACAATCGACAACGACAATGAAATTATTCCCTGCCGCCCTAACTTGAGCATTGGGAAATACAATAAATATCATAATATGAAATAATTAATTGAACAAGATAAGTAAATATATAGAGCATATATACAATATTTACAGGATTTACGATTTTAATCATTTAGAATGATACGAAATTGCACGTACTTCGCGACAAATATTATACAAATAATGAATGGTTATGAGTTCAATAGTGCGAATATGTTCATGAGTTGAAAGATTAACATTCTATTCAACGAGGCGTCAGCCGAGTTGAATAGAATTAACGTTAATCTTTCAACGAATGAAAATATTTGCACTATTAAACGAATGAAAAACATTCATTATTTGTTTTATACAACATCGAAGAAGACCTAATAGAACGTTAATCAACAAATTATGCTTTACTCCTTATAAAGATAAATTACAGTTCGAGTCAAGCCTTCTCAATTACATGCAGATTGCCTTCGCGTCAGATACACGCAGGGATACGCGCGCGCACATGCAGCAGAGAGATACGCAGTCTGCATATAACCAAAAATGCACGGCGCATATAACCAAAAATGCACGACCGTGCAATATACCATCTATTGAATATCATGTGACCAACAATCGTCCAATCAAATGACAAGGATCCACGTAGGTGTTGTATAACATGTGTTATACAGACATGAAAAGCTATAGATCCGTGGCGCACACCACCACCTCAGCGCTCGCACGTCCGCACGCACTTTTGGCGTCCTATTTTCTCTATCGCTAGCAGGTGCATTTGGTATACATGTACTTCTGTAATGTAGCCAATAATGCTCTTCATGAACTGGATGTGGCGCTTCTCAGCTGCTCGTAGGCTCGCTCTCTCAATCGACCGGGGAAATGATCGATGTCACTTTCGACGACGTCGTCGCTTTGAGAATGGAAATGATTTGCAACGATTCATGATTTCTCCATGATATTTTCTATCCATAAGTCATTTGGAAATTCATGGTATTGCTTCAATGGGAGTCGTCACTATGGGAAATTAATTGGATTTTAACCTCTCAGGATTCATGAAGTTGTGATTTTCTAGCGGTTCAAGGAGTTTTGTTCTTGTTCTTTTGGATTGAACAGGACGACCGGGGATGGCCTATCGGGAGGGCCAGGGTCTGGAGCAGGTGCGAAGCCCAATACGTCCCGAGAGAGATCTAAGTGGTGCGCTGAGTTTATCGGCGGAAGCGTTGACGTTACTCGGAAATATCTTACCAGTGATAGTGGTGTTCAGGTTCAAGACTCGGGCCGAGAGGACGGTTACAGATATCCTAATCGGAACGCTTGCTATAAATGATATGTGTTCTGTGCTATTGCCACTACCTGTGTCTCTACCCAGCTTTATAGATCCCGGTCCCGAGTCAGCATGGCACGGGGGCAAAGCGGCATGTATTTTCTACCAGTTTTCGGTCTACTGGCTCCAGAACTCGGCCATGCTTCTGGTAACCGCCATGGCCTTAGAACGATGGTTGGCTGTTGCCTTCCCGCTACGATACAAAGGCTGGACTACGCATGGACGAGCTCGGGTCATGATCGTCGTCATCTTCGGTTCGACGTTCGTCGTAGCATGTCTCCCCGTCATGGGACTTGCCCCGCCGGCTGTATCGAAACAAGGTAGCCGGTTCTGTCGTTCCTGGATCGCTACGCAACCTGAAGTCTGGTACCACACCATCTTCCCTATTGTTCTTATATCACAGGGCTGGATCTCGATGGTCCTAGTCCTGGTCCTGAATGTGTGTTTGATGGTTAGACTAACGAGATTTAGAAGGAGACTGAAAACAGACAGAGGTGAAATGACCACGGAAAGGAAATCGATACGTGAATTTACGAAGCTGGTCGTCGTCGTAGCGATCCTTTTCTACTGTACGTGGTTACCAGTTCTTGTGAGTATAGTCAAATCATTGTAATTGTTTATAAGATGATGCCGTGGATCCTAATCAAATGATTAGTTAAAAGCGTACTGACATGTGACCAGGCATTTATGTTGCATAACACGTAATTTTGATAGCGACCGGTCATTATCAAATACTAATGACCGGTCATTAGTAAAATCATGTTATAAAACATCATTTTATAAAACAAATAAAACTTAATCTTATAAAAACAAATAATACACATCAATTCAAAACAGTCCAAACACCCTCGGCTACTGCCTCGGGCGTGTTACACTGTTCCAAAGGTACCTTGTTTGGGTAATTCTGACTAATGCCCTCACTACTGTGTATTATTTGTATATTTTATTTGCTTTAAAATGGTAAATGCTTTATGAAGTACATGCCAGTTAACGTGAATATTGATGATGAGATACGTCTTTATATTTGTGTTTATATTGGTATTGATTGGTATCAAATGGTACGTGAATGTTTTAAAGGTAGCAATAACTCTTGAACGTCATTGAAGAAGTCCCATTTCGGTAAGTTGGAAGAGCACCACGATTTCATGTTTTGAGAGTCTCCCAAAAGTCCGGATTGTTATTTTAGTTTCTCTTGACTCATTTTTACTGATTGTAGAATATTTTTACAATGATTGTTTTCATAATATTTCCATATTCTTTATAGTATTGCGGTTATTCTTATTTTGATTATAACATAAATACAACAGTTCTGATTATAATTGTTGTATGACAGGTGGTACCCTATAAAGCGTCCCAATATATATCTTTTACTCGCTTCCTTGCAATTAGTCTTGGTGCTTTGATAATTTCAGTAATTTTATATAAGGAATGATGCTACATTCGTTAAAAAAAATCTGCTTCCGACACTCATGTCATCCGATATAAAATCATATCGATTCCGTCTATGAGATTTCCACATTCATCCTGTATGGCCGGGGAGACATCATACATCCTTGATAACTCCATCACAATTAATCTCCCTCCACTTCAAGACGCGTCTAGAGCCCGTCTAGAGGACTTGTCATGTCACCTCTACAAATCTACTTCCATCTCAAGTTTAGACATCGGGGTTATTTTGAGAGTTTGAGTCAACATTGATCGACAAGAATTAGATACACAATGACCGTAATCCCACCCCAGCCACAAATGTGTTTGCAGTTTGTCATCCGTGTATGTACTTTGACTTTCAAACAGTACAGGCTTCCTCGTTGTTCCTCCACACATGCAGCTAAAAATGAACCCTTCTCTGAGCCGAAGGAATCTTGGCAATATTATGTTACGCATACTCTGTCTCTTTCCTCGTCTCTGTCTCCTTTAGGGTCTACTTTTGTCAGTGGCGTGATAAAAGTCAATCGGTATTTTGCCTTTTCTTTAAATTTGTGGTAATCTGAACGTTATAAGTAAATCAGCATAAATACAATTTCAAGATTATGCTTAAATGCATATTTAACTATTGTTAGTGATGCCTCTGTACATGTAGTTCTGTTTTATGAAATAACTATCTTCGGGCCAACATCTTCATTGGATATTAAGCAACTGCTGAGGAAAACAAAACAAGTAAACTTTGTTAGGGCCACGATACAATCTGATTAAGCAAATCGGATAAGGGGAGAGAGAAACATGAGTTTGGGAAAAGGAGATATCAAACCATGGCGAAAGTCAAGGAAGGAAGGAGTGAGAGAGACAGAGAGAGAGAGAGGGAGAGAAGGGGGTGAGAGGGACAGAGAAGGAGGCGAATGTTGGATATAGAATGACATTTGGAGAGAGAGACAAAGAAACTGATAACGGATACTCACTTTCTGGGAATATGGCACTGTGGCTAAGTGAAAACCTCTTAAAATTAGGTGATGACATTTAAGCTGTATTATTGCTTACATAAATCTCTTACATGGAAAGGTATGACGTTTTTATAAATCACCGACTTTAGTAATCAGAGACCGATGGAAAAGAGAGAGAGAGAGAGAGAGAGAGAGAGAGATAGAGAGAGAATAAATCATCAGTACAACTGCTACCTTGGTATAGCATTACAGGACTGTATTGTTTTAGTTAATGGCTATCAACATTATGTGGTGCGATATGATGTGTGAGGATGTGAAGTATAGAGGTTGGTGAGTGGTTTATGTGTGCCTGATAATACTCAGGAGGATGATGTGGTCTAGCTGTTTAGGGGCACCAGGGCGGGGAGGGGCGCGTGGCCTCTAGCATTCAGTCAAAATAATATTTTTAAAAGGACCGGAGAAAGAGAGAGAAAGGGAGAGAAGGAAGGCAACGTAATGATAGATCTCCTTCAATTCTCTAATTCCTTCACTTAAAGAACCCTTTCTCTCGCATTTCAACCATTTAGTCCAGCCCCCCCATATTCCAGTGCCCCTAATGTCTGGACCCGCCCTATGCCACTGGAAGTATAGAACAAGCTTGATCGTCTTGAGAGCTGGTACCTACTATCAATTCACGGGATGTTTATGCAGTGTTCGGCCTCTGCTGATACAGTAGTTTGACGACCGAAGCAATGTTTTGATTCTTGTCATCGTCGCCATCCTCTTCATAGGTGGATCGGGGTTCAACCCCCTACCCCCTTCTATTTTCCCTCTTTTCAGGGAATTTCGAAATAAAAAGGGCCAACAAAATCTCTTAAACTTTTTACCCCGTTTATTTATTTTTTTATTTTCATTTTTTTAATAAAAAAAAGTTAATCCTGAATCCGCCCCTGCTCCTCCATCTCATTTGTTCAGTATGATGATCGGGATTATCATTATTTTTGCAATATTGTCACCGTATTCATAATTTTAAGACCATTTTGTACTCTGTATAATTATTCGAGTATACAATTTATGTTATGTACTTGGGTGGATCATATTTCACAATGTGTTAATCATTTTCATCTATACATTTACAATTATCTGTCTTTTTATTATTTTGTCTCTTCGCCTGTTTTTTCATATTGAAATTTGGATCGAGCCAGGTTGACTGATCAGTCATGTTCAATATGTAAATCATTCTTCGGAGGGGACGTATTAAGTCAATTGTTTATAAATAATTAAATCCCCCTCTTCCAAACTGTTACGCTTCCGTGCATTCTAATCGAGATATCCTGTCCCAAATTACGCTCCATTAATTATTATTAGTTTGGTAGTAAAGAGGACAGTGATGCATGGTAATATGGCAGGGATTGTTGGCGCTTTTCATCACTCAATGTCATCTAATAGAATCGAGAGGAATCTGCCTCGGGTTCACTTGATGATCAGCCAAGATGGCTCCCAGTCAGAATAGGCCTGTTTTCATCATCTCTAGATTGCCAAATATCCCGCTATTCGAACTATCCCGATCGCAAATTATCCAGCTAATTTGATCAGCCCGAAGTTGCAATTAGCGGAATATTTGATCGAGATAATCATCCCAACATAAATTATCTTGGGCTAGTTTGCAAAATATATTTGTCCGGTGCGTCTTCACCAGCCCGAAGACTCGCACTATGTACGAACGGTGAGCAAAATATCTCGAGCTAATTTCTCAAGCTCGAGGTTCAAGTTTTAATTCACGAGCTGAGGAAGACGCGATTTGTATAAACTTTGTGAGCCAAATCAGAAATAGAGGGCTATTTGGCAATCTCGAGATGATGACAATATGCCTATTACGTGGGTTATCTTGATAAGCGTATTAGACATTGCATTCATCTTCCACGGTGGAATGCTTCATGTGATCGTACTTCTTAACGCACCTGACTTACGGCTTGACGCGTCGCTGTCATTAACCTCTAAACACCCGCAGGTAGCTAGTCTGGTAGCTTAGTGTACGATCTCACTGCAATCCGATTTTCGAAGAAATCGCAAATGCAATTTATAAAAATGATAAGCTTATGGCAATTTAAACAAAATTAATCTTTCGGATTAAGGTCCTGAATAATGTTATTAATAGTAAAATATACAAAATTAAGTACATGCCAGCTTTCTCATAGGAGAAAAGGTTGAGTAGGCTTCAAATCGTAAAGACAATCGCACGACTATTTTGAAATCACTACGATTTGGAGCCGATTTAGGTTTTGCTTCAAGGAGGCTTGCAATACCAAGGATTTTTAATTTTACGATTTATACGCCCATCCATCGTAATGAACAAGATTCTGGACATTCTTCTACAGACGCTAAAGGTACGTTAGAAACCTCAAAACCCCCAAATGGCACTTTAGTTAGATGAGCGACAGCTAAGTGCCAATAGGGACTTTTAGATTTACGTGGACTAAACGTGTGACGTCAATTCAAGGCAGTGCATTAAAAGGACGTCGATCGTAGCATAGACCTATTGTCTTCGTACGAATCTAAAAGTCCCTATTATCAGGGCTCTTATTCCTTTGAAAGTATTACGTGGTGTAACCCTGGAAACTTAACATACAATTAAGTTTCTTCTTCATGAATAGTATCGCCGCTTCACTTCACTATTTATATCCGTCCTCCATTCATTACCACAAATTATTTCACCGGGGCCTACAGCTTTACAAACTTGCTTTCATGTAGGTCCCATCATATTTCTCTCAGCTAAATCAGTACTCTATTATTGACCACTTATTATCTACATTATTTATTATGTACTATTGATTGTTTTTTTTATCACACACAAAATAACAAAAAAACTTAGACTTTATTTTGAAATGTTGGCCTATATGTAACACGAAAAAATTAATGAAATGAAATGAAATTACGATTTTACATTGTTTAATGTTCATATCAAATGATATTGCAAATTCTTCAAAGTCTGATCTTATTAACATCGTACACACGGTCATCGTGATGAAGAAGTGAAGACGCCTCGCAATGGAAGGGTTAAGCCCGGGGGTGCCTTGACGGGGCCAAAGCTGTCCATAGAGGGAGGGTAAAATGTGGCGTGAATTTAATCAAAGCAGAAGGCACGGGATGAAAGAAAGAAGGAAGAATAATGATTGAACAAAACCGTGAAATCACAGGAATCATGGTGCAGGGTGTTAACCTGAAGCGCACGGTGCATGATCCAATTTGTTAGCTTTGCGCATGACACCCTCAG